GTGCCACCTCTCCGGCGTCACATTATCTATCACTAGCGGCACGCAGCCCCTGCAGTGTTGCAGGCCGGTTTGCAGGGCGTACCCAGGGTCCGGGCAGATGTCTCTTCTGTAACAAATCTCACAAGGCCCAGTCACGGATAGCCTGCGGTGAGAGAGCTCAAGGCGCAGCCAGCAGTGCTGTCCTCTGTCTAGCAGAAGGCTAATGCACTAGAAGAAGACAGAAATCCTCGCAGAACCACGGCTCGGTGCACCCTCTGAGCAGCCTGATGGATGGCATGCGCCGGCCTCGCAAGCTCCGTCCGCCCACCCTCCGGGGGAGGCCCATCCATCACGCCGCGGGAGGAGGAGGCCGCAGCTGCGGCTGCGCTGCAAGGATGGTACAAAAGCAGCCAGCCGCATCCAGCCCAGAGGGACGGCAAAGCCGCCCCCGCTGTGTCCCCATCACGGCTTAGCTGTGGGTAAGGAGGGAGGGCCTATAACCCATGTAACAAGTTTGCTGTTCTCTGCTAGGGATTGTGCTGAAGTTGCCTTGCAAAAAACCCTCATCCCCGCTGGGGGCTAGGAACTATCTGCTGTATCTCACAGATGTTTCACAGCTTGCAGGTCCCCACCACAAGGTTGTGCCCATCTGCCCCGCTTCCCAGCTAGAGCCTCCAGGCCCCAGCCTCTGCCTCCCTCGTGTCTGGCCGGCAGCAAATCCCTAGGGCTGAGTGCTGAGCGGCCTCCCCAGAAGCCTCAGAACCAGTTTTCTATGTGGCTCCCTATTACTCAGGGCAGGAGGATGCCAGGACTCGCTTCTCCATCTCCCTCCCAGCCTCCTCAGCCCGCAAGGCAGCCGCAGCGAGCTGAGTCCTCACTGCAGCAGGGCTGCTGTGCACGTGGCCAAAGCAAACAGCAGTCGCAGCTCCGGAGAACTGAAGTCTCTTCAGGAGCCCCCTTGAACTGATGAGCATCTATAACACCCCCCTCCTTTCAGTATATCCCTTGCACTCAATGTCCTTCTGCTGAATGGATTCACTGGAGGCTGTCGCAGATATTAACACAGCCCCAAATGATATGCTCCAAATTCATCACCCCTCGGCAAGGTCCCTGCAGCTGCCAGAGGTGCACCAACAGTCAGTCTCCCTGGCGCAGATTTAGCCCAAGTTACCTTAATTGCTGCTAGCAGAGAAGCAGCAGCCGCTATGTCCACCGCCGGAGCCCCC